AATTGCATTACTTTTTAATTCTTGCCAGTGTTTAACCATTCAGCGCTCGCGCGCTCACATAAAGCCAGGTTCACATTACTCCGGTTGCAGTGCATACGTGGTGCGTATTTTTTCCGCGCTCATGTTAATGGATTAAAGCGTTCACCACATACGGTTGCGGTGCGGCAGTGCGTTCAGGAGCGGTGCGTCTGCAGCAGTGCAGAGATCTTTTCCGCACCAAGTGTTTGCTGCGCTGCAAGCGCTGCATTAAAGAATTGTTTTCAGTAAATACAAACATGGATCGACATGAAAATGTAGTAATAATTACACCATAAATACAAATTATTAAAGTCTACTGTGTTTCACAGTCAACACATATGGCTTTTTGGCTAGGTTTAAAGGGAAAGAGCACTTGTAGATAAACAAGGCAATAATAGATGGCACTCGTGGAGGAAGGAAAACAAAGTTCTTTATGAACCGCAGGATTTCTTGTAATAAAGATTTAAACGCAAAAGGAAAGGCAATAGAGCTGACTATTTCTGTCAATGGTAAGTTTGTGATAACGTAAGAAAAGTAGTTTAAAGGGGTCATATGATGCAATTAAAATTTTTCCTTTCTCTTTGGAGTGTTACAAGCTCTTGTTGCATAAAGAAGATCTGTAAAGTTGCAAAAGACTAAAGTCTCAAATCCAAAAAGATATTCTTTATAAAAGTTAAGATTCAGCCACGCCTACCTAAAACGTCTTGTTCTAACACGCCCCCACATATCTACGTCACTGTGTGGGAAGATTTGCATAACGCCGCCCAAATGTTCACGAAAAGAAAGGCGTAACTTTTATTCTCGCTGTAGTATTGTTGCCCACTGGATGCAACAAATGCCTCGTTTATAATGGGTTTTCATGTTTCTGTCTCTTCTCTCCAGCCGGCATCATCAACAGTATGGTGAGGGGCGTAACATTTCCGTCTCACGCTTGAGGTATTCAGCCAATCACAACGCACTGGATAGCTGGCCAATCACAGCACACCTCGCTTTTCAGACCGATGAGCTTTGTAAAAATCGACGCGTTTCAGAAAGGCGGGGCATAGAGGAGAAACAATAATGTACAGTATGTGGAAAATAATGTGTTTTAAACCGCATAAACATTTCATTACACCAAATAATGTTCTTTTAAGCAACATCATATGACCTCTTTAAATGTTTTGCCAATTGCTTGAGCAACTTTATATATTAATCTAGAAGTAAATGCAAAAGTAAAAAGCATTGAATAATGTGTTGCTTATATTTATTGTGTTTAAACATGTCTGTGAAAGATTGTATTACTGTACTGTGTAAAAAAAAAGAATTGCAATGCTGAAAAAGCATTTCAGTGACAATGTTTGGATTTGAAATCAAAATAATGGATAAATGTTGTGTTTGTGGTACACAGCCACGGATCAGTAGCAGACTCTTGTGTGAAAGCACAGTCCGTGCTGCTTCTCCTCTCACAAGAGTCACATAAGAGGGGAATTCCCCCCATTTTCAAAAATGAAATTCAGGCCCTGAATAAATGTCTAAAAATCCTGATTGGAGTATCACACTATACATAGTTATAAATTATAAAAAAAGAAGGCTTTAAAAAGATCTGTATCGGTAGATACTGCTTTCTGTGATCGGCCTCAAAAATCCTGATTGGAGCACCCCTACTGGATATGTGGATTTTCTGTGCGAGGGCGCCCTCTGGCATCCAGTATGAATGAAACAGACATCATGTGTTTATAGTGCTAATGGCCAATCCATTATTTTTGGGGGAATTTTTATTTATTTTATTGTATTTTTTTTTAAAATAAGTATCGGTTCAGGCACCAGAACCGTTTTAGAAGTATCGATTTGGCACCGGTATCGAGAAAAAAACCCCAAATGATACCCAACAGGAACAATCATGATAATCTTTCTTACACAAGATAGATTTTATTAAATGCGTCCCTGCGTGAGCTCCATAACTTCATTGTGTAATGACTACATGTGCTACTACTGCGACAGAGCTGACAGATTTTTTTTTTAACTTTGTAAAAACTGAAGCAGGGTGTATGTACTCTCATGTTAATTTTTCCGAGCAGTTTCTAAATTTAGTCTCAGCCCTGTGTTAAATTTTTTAATCATATTTAGTCAACCTATCCTTTTTTTTTTGGTCAAGTTTTTGTTGTCTAAAAGTCTGGGAATTTGAAAACTTGTGGTTCAGTGACGGCGCTACACCGGGGCTAGAAGGGGCTATAGCCCCGTCAGAATTTGTAATAGCCCCGGTTTAGCCCCATTTCTTTATGAAGTAACTCTGACGTCATCAATATCATTTATTTTCTTAGCACCCCCACATATTGGTCTAGCCCCCTCTTAGCACTGGTAGAGAAAAAATTCTGGCGCCGTGCCTGTTTGTGGTTACATTTATAAATAACAATTATTTGCTCAAAACTATAATTAAATTTTGTTGTCATTTGAGAAATGTCATCAGAATTAATTGCAATTTCACCAATAACCACAAATAAAGGAGCAGTCGTGGCCTAATGGTTAGAGAGTCTGACTTGGGTTTGAGTCTCAGGTTTGGCAGGGATTGTACAGTTCGCCAGTCAGAAGGTTTGATGGCAGATTAGCACAGAAAACAGCGCAAACAATCCGTATGAAGGAACACAGACTGGCTCTATTACAATTTAATCGGAGCAGCACATCTCTCTGGAGATCACAAAACTCCAAATTACATTTAAACTCTTGACATCTAGAACCCCATGGAGGTCTATATTTTTCTCCTCTATTTTATAAACTACATTTTAGTCTCCTCTTTTTCATTAATTATATTGCATGTTGATATAGTCATAGTTTGCGTTTATTGATTGTCTCATCTTTGTCTAGTCTTAGTCATACAAAAAGTTACAAATATTTTTCATCACAGTTCATGTTAAAGAAATGAACACTAGTGCGCTGTAATAGCACTATTATAGAGTATATTCCTTGATTACCTGAGATTCACACATAGTTTCCGGCTTGTATCCTGGAACCGCTCTGGGAGGTTCCTTCACCCAGGCTTTACTGGGAATCTTTGCTTTTCCCATCAAGTTTAAAGGGATGCTGTTTTCTGGGATGACATTCAGCAAAAGGGTCGACACCACCTTGAAAATGCAGCAAAAATGTGGTATTCATGCTCAACTTTTGTTTTGTTTTTGGGCATCTGGAAGGTATCTGTGAGAATGCAATCGGGGTACACTGCAGGCTGAACTCATGCATAAACATATCTGATGACAATACAGATCACACACGCATTAAGATAACTAGATTACCTGCTTTCCTGTCCAGAGAGGCACAGGTTTAAAGAGCGCGGGAGGCAGGAGCTTCACTCTGCCAATCTTGTCTGTCAGGCCTCTGTAGACTAGTGCAGTGTACTGATCCCGTGTGAAAAAACAGCCACGGATGGTCATGCTGGCGCCAGACACCATGTGGTCCTGAATCAGGCCGGCCAATGGCTTCCCATCCTACAGAAGGAGCAGAGACCAGTGAAGTGTTTTCCAAAATGAAAGACAATTCATATTTAAGTTGTTTCATTTTTCTAGATGAAGTCTCACTTTAGGCACTAAGTACTGCTGGTCTGTGCTCACTAGCGTGTAGGCCTCAGCTCTGCCCAGCTCACTCTGAGGGAAGTGAGCGTTCATCTCGTCACCATCAAAGTCAGCGTTGTAGGCCTTACAGTTGGCATAATGTAGTCTGAGCACTTTCTCTCCGGGCAGGATGCGAGCACAGTGGGCCTGAATTGATGGTCTGTGGAGAGTGGGCTGACGGTTTAACAGCAGCACATCCCCATTAATGATGTGCCGATTTACCTACAAAAGAGAAGCAATTGTCAATGGACTGAATCAACAAATAATAAAAAAAAATGTTAATGTTGACATTGCATTTACGGTACACTTGATTCAAAACTACTATATTAATATTTTCACAGTGTATTTACAGTAGAATGTGAAGCAGATAGGAGCTGTGTAATATGTTGACTATGCATCGTAACTGTTGTTTCAACAATGTGAATGCTGATATTATGATGTCACTCACTTCACAAAAACCAAACACAAACTGATAGTGCAGGCGTTCAATGCGTGGTGTAGCCTAATAAAATATAGTAAGGATGACCCCCTTTTTATATTTCTACAAAATACATACCTTTCAATACAGGTAATCAATATCACACAAGCAAGTGTGCCATTTTCCCGAATAGCAGCATACTTGCAAATGTGATACTGATTTTACACAACAGTTCAGTAATAAACAACAAGTTCATATTTAGACAAAATTGTCCATATTGTCTGTTTTTGCTCTATTTCACCAACACAAACAGTTCCAATCCACAGCAGAACTTTTGTGTAACACACATTTCATTCCTGTATCAATCATCATTTTTTAACAAATCAATCATTCAGCAATCATTGCTTTATTCCTGAATGAATCAGTCTGAACAAATTGGGTGAATAATTGACTCAATGACTCACCTCCACCAACTGACAGTTTTAGTTTCATATTTAAAGTATAATTTCATTCAAAATCATTTCATATTTTAAATATTCAAAATATTATTTTTAAAACAAATCTCATAGCATGATTTATGCAATTGTAATTGGCTAATTGCAATGTAAATACATTTACACTTTGTCTGATTATTCTAATTGAATTTTGATTAAATGTAAGAAGGTGACAAACACTGATGCATACATCTAATATGTTTAGAAAAAACTGATCTTATAGAAGTAAAATGTCCCAGGAAATCAATTTAAGGTGGAAAATATCACCCCTTACTGAAAAAATCACTGCTATGAACTAACTGCTGCACTGAATATGAAGAATATGAAAAACTTTGTGAGTCGGCTATCCAACATCGAGGTATCATTTTTGTCAATATTACACACCCCTAGAAGCAACATTCAATTATTAATATAGGATAAAACTGATCTTATAGTGTGCGTAGACTAGCTATCTAACAGTATGGCTCATGAAACTAGATGTTATAATATTATACAAAATCTACCCAAATAGCAGTGCATCTTTGTCAAGATAACTGACTCACAATCTTCATGGGTATCCTGTGCTGGCCGGTGCTGGGGGTCAGGAGCTGTTTGGCCACGGCTTCTCTCTGGGTCAGGTTGCTGCTGCTGAGGATGGTTCGGGAACCGTCTTCATTAATGACCATGGAGGCTCCAGGGTGGATGCTGGGTCCATTCAGCACTGCCTGCCGGAGTTCCTTCACGTTCCAGGGTGTCACCGGCTGTGGGTACGTCAACTTGGTAGCAAAAACCTAGAGGAACCATATCAAACGACTTAAAAAAAAAAAAACACCAAAATCAGTATTAAACACTTTTGTACAATGGCTGCTAAACTGGATATTTCACTGCTAACAATGAAAACATATGAACGCTACTTTCATGCCTCTCGTATAACTCTGAAATCGCTCTCTTTCCATATTAAAGCAAGTACAGAGAGAGTTACTACAGCTACTGGACTTTATTATGTATTGTTTGGTGAATATGTCATGTCCATGTATTTCTTTATTTGATAAGTAGCTGTTCAATAAGCAGAATAACGAACAGTCAGCCCAAACACTATCAAAAACACTATCAAAAGGTAAAAATCCAGTCTCACCATTGGTATTCCAATCTCATTGGTTCCGATGTACATATCAGGACAAATGACTGAGCGTGCAGCGTAATCCACACGCTTTCCCATCATGTGTTTCCTGAACAAACCCTCTTTCTTCTCCAAGAGCTGAGAGACACATTCGAAAGAGACAAACACTTCAAAACCTATTTTAGTTCATAATGGATTCTGACCTTGAGATCTGTCACACACTGACCTGACGGATGCCTGGGAACTTCTCAGTCATCAGTTTGTCCATGTCGCTGTCAAACACTATGTTGACGTGACTCTGCAGGCGGATCCACATGTTATAGAGCTTGTCTGTGAGAGTCAGCCCTTGGATTCCCGTTAAGAAGGTCTGATCTATCTGACTGATCTCTGTAGATTCACTGGACTGAAGAAATGACAGATCATGAACACACATGGCACTTCTCATAAGAGAGGCGCAAATAAATGGATGGATTTGAAATGGGAAGGAAATCGCAACTGATTTACTATACTATCATTAAAAAATATACACATACAACTGCTCAAATTAAATCAACAAAACACAATATTTCCTCAATTTCCTGAAAATAGATTTTTGATCATTTACGTAAAACGATTTACAATGTACTTCCTCAAAATGCACATGATTTTATGGATTTCCCCTGTTAAACACAGAAACATTCAATAAAATGTATACTTTAGGGAGTAACATTTTTTGGACCCTGTCTACAACTTGGGAAGTTGAAATAAATGGTCAAATTGTCTTCGTTTTTATAAATTGGTTTGTGTTGACTGTATTTGTCATTCAACCTTGGTACCAAAGTTATTGACAGAATTATGCATATATTATTTGCATTCCAAAAATTTTACCATATAATTTTTCTACAAACCAACATTTAGTCCAAACTACCCCCTACTGAGTAACAGCTCAATTTGTGGTAAATTTGCAATCCTGTTACCCATTCTTTTTTTTCACATTTTAATGAATTTCTACATTTAATTAACATCTATGTGCCAAATTAATAGGGTACAACCATTCTGTACACACACACACACACACACACACACACACACAACTCATTCAGTCAAATATCTCTCTGTAAAAACAGGAAACTACATAATCATCTCAGAGTAATGTCTAACAGGTTGTTGTGTACAGGACATTGTACATACAGTTATAAACTTACCTGCATGGAGGAACCACAAGCAACTCCAAAAAGAAAACTTCAGGACTGAAGCCTTTCTCGGAGTTGTTCATGTCAAACCCTGAGAACAGATGCTTCAGGAAGAAACCTAGAGAATCAAAATGATACATTTAAAAAACCTTTTGTTTGCATTACGAAATCTAGAAAGAAAATGGGAATCAAACTCAACCAATCTTACCTTCTTTCTCCCAGAGTTTGATGACGTGTTCTCGTAGCAAACTTGGTGTCAAGAATCCACGTTTGGTAATCAGTGAATCATCTGGAAGCAAACACAAATACTGTAGATACTCGCAAAGCGTATACCCACTGTAGATCTGCATTTACACTGCTAAAATGCAGGATTACATTTAATACAGTTTCTGTCTTTCATTGACTGCATACATGTTAAATATTTTAAAATCATTTAGAAGTTTTTAACATATCGTCACTGATTGCATTTATTTAGAAAATTTTATTTTCAAAATAATTGCAAAATTCGCTATCCAGTATAACAGAGTTTGTTATACTATAAATTTACTGATGAAATCCTTTATTATCAGGCATTATTACTCCATTCAAGTCCTCACCCATAAAGAATACAACTATATAACTTTTTTTAACATTATTTTCTGCTCTTATGTGGTAAGAAGAAACCCAAAACACTTTATAATCTGCATCTATTGACCACCGACACATTGATACAGAAATGGTGGTTTGATGTTGAATGATCACCAAACAGCAAAGTACGGTCTTACTTAAACTGTGACCCTGGACCACAAAACCAGACTTAATTTTGTGAAATTGAGATTTATACATCATCTGAAAGCTGAATAAATGACCTTTCCATTGATGTATGGTTTGTTAGGATCGGACAATATTTGACTGAGATAAATCTATTTGAAAATCTGGAATCTGAGGGTGCAAACAAATCTAAATATTGAGAAAATCATCTTTAAAGTTGCTCAAATGAAGTCCTTAGCAATGCATATTACTAATCAAAAATTAAGTTTATATATTTACGGTAGGAAATTTACAAAATATCTTCATGGAACATGATCTTTACTTAATATTCTAATGATTTTTGCCCCAGCGACTTAAAGGGTTAGTTCACCCAAAAATGTAAATTAGGCTGCGTTTTACTCACCCTCAAGTCATCCTAGGTGTATATGACTTTCTTCTTTCAGACGAATCCAGTCAGAGTTATATTAAAAATTGTCTTTGATCTTTCAAGTCGTTTCATGGCACTCAGCGGGTGTTGCATTGCTTCTGTCCAACAGAACTTAATAAAAATCGCCCATCCATAAAAAAAAAGCGTCTCACATGGCTCCGGGGGGTGAATAAAGGCCTCCTGTAGCGAATCGATGCGTTTTTGTAAGAAAAATATCCATATTCAAAATGTAATAATCACTTTAGAATCAGAATGAGCTTTATTGCCAGGTATGTTTACACATATGAGGAATTAGTTTTCGTGACACAAGCTTCCACAGTGTAACAGAATGATAGTGACAGAACAAAAAACACAGATAATAAAAGAATAAAAACAATTAAAAATAGAACAAGTAAATAAGGAATAACAATATATAAATTGACAATTGTATGTGCAGGTATATTACAGTAGACAGTTGTGTATGTACAGGTATATTATGTGCAAATTTGAGGTGTAGACTGAGTATGTGTGTTAGATAAATAAGTGTATGAGTGAATAAATAGTGTGTGTCCCACGGTTATTGTCAAGTGTTCATGAGATGGATTGCCTGAGGGAAGAAACTGTTCCTGTGTCTGGCCGTTCTGGTGCTCAGTGCTCTGTAGCGTCGACCAGATGACAACAGTTCAAAGAGGGAGTGTGCTGAATGTGATTCTGCCAGCCCTTTTGCTCACTCTGGATGAGTACAGTT